TCTCACTCAGTAAAAGCATACCTCTTACAGTAGCCTATCGGGTCCTATGTTCTCTGAAAATGAGGTCTCTGACCTCATTTCTTACTATTCTTCCCCTTGCTCATTGCGTTCCAGTCATACTTGCCTCTTTGAACACCCAGGGCCTTTGCACTTGCTAATTCTTCTGTGTGTAATGCTCTTTCCCAGAAACCTTATCTCCTTCAAGTCTTTGCTTCAGTGTCATTTTCTTAGTCCTTCTTTGACCATGGGGTGTAAAATCGCAACCCTTCTGCCCACCCCCTCCCTCTGACACTCTACGCTTCTTCCTTGCCTTTGTCTCTGTACCACTGTGTCAGCTAGTAGAATGTAATTTACGAGGTTTCTTGTCCAGCTCCCTTACTATAATGGAAGATTTTAGAGGGTGGAGTTTTTGCCTGTTTACCCCCTGATGTATCTCAGCACCTGGAACTGTACCTGGCATGTTGTTGGTGCTCAGTAAGATAAATGTGAATGAGTCAAGTGTCACAGGACTGGTAAAGAGAAGGATTCAAGAGTTACAGGGGAAGGATCACCTTAAGCTTAATGGAGAAAGTGATACTGAACAGGGCCTGAGAGCTGTAGGATTTACATTCTTGAAGATGTCGGGCAGGCTGTCAGTTCTCTGTCAGTGGGCCTATAAAAGGCTCGTCCTCTAGAACACTTAAGCCTTCAGAAGTTGGGAGAGAACAAATAGCGTGGTCCAACAGAAAGGAGAAGAGGCTTCATGTAAGGGAGGAGATGGGAATGAGGCTGGAAAGACAGGGGCCAGGTCAGAAAAATGTAGAAGAAACCTTCGTTTTAGTATTTGCCCAAGCCAACCACAGAAGGCACGTCTCCTGCTTCATAAATTATTCCAAATCCAAGTCCAAATGGAGGCATTCCCAGGCTATGGATCTTTCAATTTTTTTTAAAGATTTTATTTATTTTAGAGAAGAGAGAGCAGGGGGAGGGGCAGAGGGAGAGAGAGAATAGCAGACTCCAAGCTGAGTGTAGAACCCGACGGAGGGCTCAGTCTCATGACCCCGAGATCATGACGTGAGCTGAAACCAAGAGTTGGAAGCTTAACTGACTGTGCCACCCAGGTGCCCCTGATCTTTTACTTTCTGAAGGGCTTCTAAGTTTAGGTGCCCCCAGGCTTGGGGGACAGATGTGACAGATTTAGGAAGCTCTTGAGTTGTGCTGTCCAGTAGGGTAGCACCAGCCACATGCATTAATTAAATTGAAATTAATTAAATACAATTAAAAGTTCAGCTGCTCAGTTACACTGGCCACATTTCCAGTGCTCAGTAGCCACATGTGGTCATTGGCTACTGTATTGGACAGTGCAGATGTGGACCAGCTGTATAACCACAGAAAGTACTGTCGGACTGTGCATAGTGAGTGACTCGAATTTATAGTACCAGTTCATTGTGGTATCTTGCTAAAAAGAATTGGCTGCCTAGCTAATATTTAGACTTGATTGATGCCTTTATCACTTTTTTTTTTAGGTACCTAACTTTTTAGACCTAGTTGGTGTTCTCCAACTGTTTGCAATTTGTGTGACATATAAGAGAAACAGTTAAACACATGTACAAGCGGATGTAAAACACTAAGCCAGTAATCACTCACACCTGATAGAATGGTTGTCGCCTAAAAGACAAGAAGTAACACGTGTTGGCAAAAATGTAAACTGGTGAACTACCAATAGAACTACGTAAGATCTGTCAATTCCACTTCTGAGTATTTATCTGAAGGAAATGAAAGCACTGTCTCAAAAGATATCTGCACCCCTGTGTTCATTGCAGCATTATGTACTGTAGCCAAGACATGGAAACAGCCTAAGTGTCCATCGATGGATGAGTGGATAAAGCAGATGTGGTGTACATACAAATATACGTGAATATACACAGTGGAATGTTGTACAGCTGTAAAAAGAAGGAAATCCTGCCATTTTCGACAACACGGATGGACCTTGAGGGCATTACACTAAGTGAAATAAATCAGACAAAGACAAATACTGTGTGATCTCACTTATATGTGGAATCAAAAAAAAAAAAAAAGGCAACTCAGGCATAGAAAACAGACTGGTGGTTGCCAGACATGGGGGGTTGGGAGTGGGGGAATTGGATGAAGGGGGTCAAAATGTAGAAACTTCCAGTTATAAGATAAATAATGTACAACCTGGCAATTATAGCTGATAATGCCGTATTGTGTGTTTGAAAGTTACTAAGGGAGAAGATCTTAAAAATTCTTATCACAAGGAAAAAATTGTTAAAAACACAACATCTAAACTGAACATACAGAGGATGAGGACATATTTAGAGGTGGAGAACAGGTGTAAATATGGTTCTGTGATAAGATACCACAGACGATTATTAAATTCCTTAAAGAAAATGACCATTGACAAATAAAATGAAGGCTGTTTATTGTGTTAGGCTTTCACTGTTGCTGGAAATGCTGCATTGGCTATTTCTCAGCAGCCCCTCCTTTCATAAAGATCCCTCTTAGCAGAGGGCCTACTTTCTCTAATAATATCATTGCAAAACAACCTCTCTAGCATTAGTAAGCCGTGTTTCAGTTAAGAGGAGAAATATATTAAACAGGAGATGTTTTCTATCCTGTCTCCCTTGAATGCAGGGTACAGGATTTGTTTTTGTATATTCTGTTAGAGTCAAAATCGACTTGGGAATATTTCTCTGTACCCTGTGCTTCATATTGTAAATAACTTTTCCTCCTCCCCCCTCTTCCTTTATCAAATCTTCCCCACTTGCAGTATTTCCAAAAGATGCATATGAGGTGTGAGTGTGTCTGTGGTCACGAGTGAGCATGTGAACATCTGAGTGTAGAGAGAGATACTCTGGTGAGGAAGGTGTTGGTCTCTGATTACATGAAGGGAGTCTTCTCTGTTACCTCAGGGATGGTCATGTGGCCAGGGTGCTATGTGGGCAGAACCTCTGGGGGGAGGTTCTCCTCTTTATTCAGTCCCTGCCCCTCCCCACACATAGCCCCCAGCATCTCCCTTCTAAAGTTCTGAGATGACTCCACTTCCCTCAAACTCTGCTTCCCTTTTCTGTTAATCCCAGTATGTCTGTCTGGTTAGCTACTTCATATATAAACCTGAATTTTAGTTTCCCCACCACTTTCTCCAAATCTGTTCAACTTGTATCCGTCTTTTCCCTATATTGCAAGGCCATTTTTCATACTTCTTTGAACCAAATACTTCCGGGATACTCTGATTATCCTGTTCCCCACCAGGAGTTTTTCTTGTTACATTTTACCTTTTTTATATTTTCTGTCAGATGGTGAGACCTGGACTGAGGATCAATTAATTATAAAGCAGAAAACTCTTGAAGTAGGGCTGCGACTACACGAAGGAGATGAATGTGAACAAAACAAAAGGGGCTCTGTGAATATGGACAAAGCTTTCATAACAGCACAAACTCTATCCAACAGCCACAAATTCTTAATTGAAGAGAAATCCCAAATGTGTAATATTTGTGGAAAATTACTCAGATGGAACTCATACCTTATTCAGCATGAAAGGATCTATACACAAGAGAAACCTTATGAGTGTCATGAATGTGGAAAAGCTTTTGGCCATAGTTCGAACCTTATTCAGCATCAAAGAATACATACTGAAGAGAAACGCTATGAATGTAGTCACTGTGGGAAAACCTTCCAGCACAGCTCACATCTTATCCAGCATCAGATAATTCATACAGGAGAGCTGCCTTATATGTGTAATGAATGTGGGAAAGCTTTTGGTTGGAGCTCAAGTCTTGTTCGACACCAGAGAATCCACATGAGGGAGAAACTCTATGCGTGTAGCGAGTGTGGGAAGGCCTTCAGCCAGAGCTCAAATCTAATAGAACACCAGCGAGTTCACACCAAAGAGAGACCATATGAGGGCAATGACTGTGGGGAAACTTTCAGTCGTAACTCGCACCTCATTGAACACCAGAGAGTCCACACAGGGGAGACTCCTTATGATTGCAGCGAGTGTGGGAAATCTTTTAGTAGGAGTTTACTTCTTATTAAACACCACAGGATTCACACTGGAGAGAGACCCTATGAATGTTGTGAATGTGGGAAGGCCTTCAGTCGGAACTCTCACCTTATTCAGCACCAGAAAACTCACACTGGAGTAAAGGCTTCTGAATACAAAGAATGTGGGAAAACCTTCAAGTACAGTTCATACCTTTCCAATCATCTGGGAATCCACACGAGAGAAACTGAATGAAATAAAGGTGGTAGAGCCTTTGGTCAGAGTTCAGCTCTGATTGAATGTCAGAGAGCTTGCAATTGGGGAGAAACCCTTTGGGTTTTGTGAGGGTGGACGGCCTTCAGTGCTGGTTCAACTCTTATTAAAACCTGAAAATCCAGATAGTAGACAAATCTCATCGGTGTGTTCAATGCACAAAAACCTTTAGATGGAGTTTCAGCATCAGCAGATTCACTTTGGAGGAGAGTGTGTCAGAGAGGGGCATGAAAGGGACAGAATGCAGCATGACCAAGGTGATGGCTAAGCGGAACCTTCAGTTAGCACTATTGCTTATTTGATGTTGAAGATCTGCATCAGAGGGAGATTGTGTGGTTTGCTTTCCAAATCTTCATAGTTGCCCTCTGAAAAGGGAATGAGTTAAGTCCATCCCAGGGAAGAAAGAATCAGGGAATTCTGGATTCAGACTTGTAGGTCAAGAAAGCAGCAGGGTGACCTTTGAACCCAGTAACTCTCCTTCTATCTCATCTATTCCATTTGTTGTAACTATTAATGGAAGTGGCTCTTGGGTCTTAGACCAGCATTTCGCCCCTCAGTGTTCTGCAGACTATTGAATCTTTTTGTTTTATATGACATAAATGAACTTAATAAACGGGCAGATTTTCTAGACCAAACAGTTTCTCAGTATGACATGTTACGGGCTTTGTTATGTGTCAACTAGGCTGAACTGCATTTGCCGTAATTCCCTGTCCTGTATTTTTTGGTTCTTGTGGCCTAGAGGGAGATTCTTAGGAGACCAGGAGGGCGGAAGAAAAGCAGCAGTTACTATATTTTGTGGCTCATTCATGTTGTTGCTAATCTGCTGACTCTGCTCACTAGGGAGACACAGCAGCTGGGCCTGCAACTGGTCTACCTTCCCCTGGATCCTCCTCTGCCTTTGCTGGGCTGTGTGTGTGTGTGTGTCCTCGTAGTTTTACTTCTCTGATTGAATCCTAGTCAAACGCATGCTTACTGTTCTTGTAACAAGTACACAGTTATTTTAAGTTTAGATAGAGAGAAATGGTTAATTTCTGGCTGTTTTTGGAAAAAAAAAAAAACCTCAATGATTTTTAAGATTTCCTTTGAGAAGAAGCCACGGTTCAAACTCCTTTATAAGAAAAATTACATCATCACCCGAGGCAGAGCTTCATTACTGTGTAATTGTCGAGGAAAACGTTGAATAGCAAAGCAGTTGAATAGTGTGCTACATGATGGATAAAACTTTTTAAAAGATTTTTTATTTTTAAGAAATCTCTACACCCAGTGTGGGGTTCAAACTCACGACTCCAAGATCAAGAATCACACGCTCCACCAGCTAGCTGAGCCAGATAGGCACCCCCATAAAATTAAAAAAAAACCCACCAAACTTTTGAGCACCCATTTACTATGAATATTTTAATCATTAAAAGACATTCCCAAAGTACCTCTACTGGGTAGTATATTGTTAGATCAGGTATCTGAGAGAAATTCCTACTTTGTTGTAAATGCACTTTTTTTGCCTTTTTTTTTTTTTTAAACGCAGGGGTCAAGCTCATGACCCTGAGATCAAGACCTGAGCTGAGATCAAGAGTCGGATGCTTAACTGACTGAGCTACCCAGGCTCCCCAAGTAAAGGGTTATTTTTGGTTACAAAAAAAAAAGATTATTTTTCCTCCAGTTAGTTTGGGTTAATGATTATCTAAAATATCAGTGAAAATTATACTTACAATGTGGACTCTTAAAGTTGAAAATTGCCTGTCCCGTAGCCCCCAAGCCTGGTCTGGTGCTGTGCACACAGTAGGTATTGAGTGGATGGCTCTGGAATGAATCTGTTTACTAGACACGAAAATCTTGTCTCAGATCTCCTGTCTGCACTCCTCTACTTTTCTCCCTCTGTAATCGATAGGTGATTATCAGCACTCACTGAGGGTCACCTTGCTCTAAGGACCGCCTTGCCATCTGGACGTCCCGAGTATGGACTCGCACTCTGTGAGGTCAGGTCTGAGCTCTGAGCCAGTGTGCCTGCTTACTCCACTCGACACACAACCCTCCTTGAGTCCCTCTCCACTCCCTTCACCACAGAAAGGGCCCTTTCCTTCTGTGGGGTCTTGAGAGGCTTCAGGGATGAGGCAGGCTTGACTAGTTGGGGTTGAAGGCTAGGCGGGATTCTGATTGGCAGAGAATAGCAGGGAGGGGCCTGTGTGCGGAGAAGGCAAGTGTGTGAGGTCACATGCCAGGCTCCAAAGGCAGAGGTGTCTGTGGAGACCAGGAAAGGGGAGAAAAGAGTTTGTCTAGCAGCATCAAAGGCACCGAAGTTGGTGTGTGTTGGAGTGGGGGAGATGCCTGGCTGGCTCAGTCAGTAGAGCATGTGACTCTTGATCTCGGGGTTGTAAGTTCGAGCCCCGTGTTGGGTATAGAGATTAAATAAAGAAATAAAATGTTTAAAAATAAAACAACCCACTGAAGTGGGGCTCTGGTTCTTTGGGCACAAGTATTACTAGTGGCCAGACAATTGACCAAGCTCTTAGATCTCAGGTAAACACAAGGGCAACCACTCAGCCCAGCTGTTGGCCAGGCCTTTCTCAGTCTTAGTACTGAAAGTCCCACGTCAGGAAATACTCAGTCCTGTGCAAACCAGGATGGCTGGTCACCTGACCCCATAGTAACCCCACCTCCCTGCCCCCTCATGGCTCCTAGCTGCAACAGGACCCAGTAGTGCAGGAATTCCTAACTTAGGTTGCATACTGGAATCACCTGGGGAGCTTTCAAAGTACTGATGCCTCAGTCCCAATCTCAGAGATTTTATGGTGTGGAGTCTGGCCTGGATATTGGGATTTTGCAAGTTCCCAGGTAATTCTAATGTGCACCCAAGGTTGAGAACCTATAAAATATACAGGTGCTGAGAGAAAGACACAAAAAGACCGCATAGGATCTGTGGCATAGTCACTAAGGGCTAGCAAGAGGAAGGCGCTGGGAGTGGGGATTGCATCAGGGCCCTATGCGAAAGTGGAGAGAGGGTGTCCCAGGTGGAAGGAGCTGTGGGAGGAGGCCAGCTATTGGATTCCCTGCGGGCAGTAAGCTCGGTCTCGGGGTGGTGGGGAGCAGGCACCTGCTGACTTCCCAGTTCTGTTACCTGGTAAAACTACAGTTTGGGTGACTTGGATTTTCCCTTTGGAGCTCTGGTCCAAGGAAGCACAGAGCCTAGGGGAAGTCAGAGCCCCAGCTCATGGGGACTCCACCCCGTTTTCCAGCAGGCAGTTACTCTTCCCTTGCCTGGCCTCTACCCTGGACCTGGGAAAATATGAAAATGCTTCCAGAGGAGGCTATAACCTAAACCTGTGCACACATTCTAAAATTTGCAGTCCTAGTCGGGGCTAGCCTGGTAGTCCCTAGCCACGCTGTGTACACAGCCTTGGGACCCCTGAGTGAGAGGCATTTCCTGTGCTCTGCTTAAAGAGGTAGAAGTCTTTGCGCAAAGGGATGATAGGAAGAGGAAGAGGAATTTGGGCATTGGCACCCAAACGTGACTGCTTTAATCTCACCTCTCATAGGATAAAATTCTACAAGACCCTTCACGTCCCTGCTCTGCCCATTGATTTCTTCAGTCCTCTTGGGGCTACTCCTTCCAATCATTTTAAAATTCATTGTGTCCTTGAACAAAGTATTTTTCAAATGTAGGTCAAAACAACTAGTGGGTCATGAGATTAATTTATCATAGGGGTGCCTGGGTGGCTCAGTCCTTAAGCGTCTGCCTTTGGCTTAGGTCATGATCCCAGGGTCCTGGGATCGAGCCCCGCATCGGGCTCCCTGCTCAGCGGGGGGCCTGCTTCTCCCTCTCCCACTCCCCCTGCTTGTATTCCCTCTCTTGCTGTGTCTCTCTCTGTCAAATAAATAAATAAAATCTTTAAAAAAAAAAAAGATGAATTTATCATAGTGAGTTGCAACCAGCACTGAGGGTAAAAGAAAAAAATAGGACCAGAGTGGGATAGGCATTATTTATGTGCATTGCACATAGCAGAGGTAAGTGGGACTTTTCCGTGTGCATGTGCACACGTGTGTGTCATGTATAGTAGTTCTTGCTGTAGAGAGAGTAAAAACTTTTGCACAATGCAGTCCCCCTTTCGGGGATAAGATTCCGTCTAAATCCTGCCTCCTTGCAGGTCTTCCTTTGAACTGAATCGTACTCTGCAATCCTTGTAGCATGATATGCTTCTTTTGTGCACTGATCACATTAAAAAAAAAAAGATTTATTCAGTTACCTGTCTCTGTGCTAGATTGCAAGCTCCATGAGGGCAAGGACTGTATGCAGCAAACACCGTATCTGACATTCGAGAAAGCACTCAGATACTGTGTAGCTGAATGATACACCTGAGTTTAGGGTCCAGCTGTATGTGTGTGTGTGTGTGTGTGTGTATATATATATTTTTTTTTTTTTTAAAGTTTACTTATTTATTTGAGGAGAGAGTGAAAGTGAGAGAACAGGAGTGGGAAGAGAGAAGCAGACTCCCGGCTGAGCAAGGAGGCGATGTGGGGCTTGATCCCAGGACCCTGAGATCATGACCTGAGCCAAAGGCAGATGCTTAACCGTCTGAGCCACCCAGGTGCCCCTATATGTTCTTAAACAATAATTTTATCTGAGAGATTTCAATATACCAAAAAGTTGAAAAATAGTATAAATGAACACTCTATATATCCCTTACTCAGATCAATAATTACTATTGTTTTCCCATATCTGCATTCTAGCCATATACTTTTTTTCTGAATTATTTGAAAGTGAGCTTCTCTAAGAATAAGGTTGTTTTCCTACATAATTGCAACACTATTAACATACCTAAGAAAAAGAATTTAATTCCCTAATACCATCTAAAATGCAGTCCATATTCAGACTTTTATAGCTATTTTATTTTGAATCGGGGGGAAAATAATCAAGGGTCACATTACATTTGGCTTTATGTCCCTTTAGTTTCTTTTTTTTTTTTTTTTGGTCCCTTTAGTTTCTTTTAATCTAGAGTAGTTCCTCTACTTTTTTTTTTTTTAATGACCTTGACTTTTGGAGGAGTCAAGAACAGTTATCCTTTAGTATTTTCCACAAAACTGATTTGTCTGTTTTCCTGTGGTGGTATTTAACTTCCTTCCCAACCCCTGCATTTCCTCTAAACTGGAACAAGGTTTAGTGGCTTAATTAATCATTTTTAGCAAGAATACCTCACATGTCCTGTCTCCATACTGTATCATCTCAGTAGGCAACTGACGTCAAATTATTCTACCCTAAGCAATGCTGTTTGTTCACCTGTTAAAGGTAGCGACTGCCAGATCTCTCCTATATAAAGGTGTTTTCCCTTTGCAATTAGTGAATTAGTGAGTAATTTTTAGGGATGATAAACTCTAGCACCGTGCAAATAATCTTTTCCTCTACAGGCTAATGTTTTTAGCAACCATCCATGATCTTTTGGGCAAGTTCTTAACCTGACACTCAGTTTCTTCATCTGCAATATGAGGATGATAATGCCTGTCATTTGGATTTACTGTGTAATGATAGCTAAAGTATTATATAACAGTGCATATGAAAATGCTGTCAGGGTCGGCTGTAATTTTCCCTTCTTCTGAGAACACCATCCTTTTTCCTTTAAGAAAGTTCTTATGTTGGTCCAGATAGGTGATCCAAATTGCTAGCTTCTCAGTGACCTAATCCTAACCCCCTAAACCCTAACCCAACAGCTGACTTAACCTTTTCTGACCAGAGTGGAATGAGCATGTGACCCGAGCTGAGCTTATTAGAATGCTTCCCTGGGAAATCATGGACCAAGTAGGAGTGAGAATAGGGTGAGGAAAATACTCTTTTTCTCCAAGGCGGCTAAATATAGGGATGTGAGTCTGGAAGCGGACTGTTTCCCCCATCCCCTGGAGACCGAAAGCCAACTGGGTGGAGGAGATTAAAGTTATCTGCCCCAGATCAAGGCAGAAAGTGTTCCAGGGGCATCTTCCTGGCCTAGCTCTGGTCCTGCCAGCTCAGCCAGTAGAGGCCCTCCCTGGCGAGCTTCTACAAACTGGGCCCTGAACCTGATGACAGATAGAATCTCAGACAGTACAGGGGCCTGTCACATGCCTCTCCCAGGTGATTGGGTAAATCAGTGGTCCCTCCCACCTCATCCCTTCCTGTTGTTTTTCACTATGTCCAGGGCTAGTGGAAAGGTGGGAGGAAGTGCCAGAGATGGTACTGGCTTTTTAAAATCTTGAGTTACAGATGCATTTCCTTGGTGAGGGCAGACTCAAAGCCGGGTGGGGTGCGTGTGTGGGGTTAGGGTTAGGGTTGGGTGGGGACTGGTGGCTTATCCAGCTCCAAGTATGGCCACTCCGGCCCCTACCAGTCTCCCTAAGCTGGAGACCAGTCCTACCTCCACCCAGTGCCCTCTCTTTGAAGATTCTTCCCGCAGTTTAAAACCAGCCCGCGTGGTCAGAGGTGCCGCCAGCAGTCTTAGGGAAGCGCAGAGAAGGGGAGAGGGACGGAGGATGAGGGAGGCCTGAGGATGATCGGGCCATGCGCAGGACAGGAGCTCCGGAGGCCGCAGGAGTGGGGCCGAGGCGGGGGGTGGGGGTGGGGGTGAGGGTCTTGGAGAAGGGGAGTGACCTGGCAGGCTCCTGAGAAGTCAGGGGGCTTCTTCCAGGCGCTTATCATTAGACCCTTTCAGCCATCCAACCGGAGGAGTTACTATTATTATTCCCGTTTCACAGATGATAAAACTGACACCCAGGAAGGAGAAGTAACTTACCCAAGGTCACCCTGCTGGTAATGGCAGAGCTGGAATTCGAATTCAGTTCCGCCCGGCTCCCGATCGCTCCCACCCCCACCCCCTTCAGTGCACAGGTGAGCAAGGCCCGCCCCGCGAACAGCCCCGGAGGCCAGGTGCCCCTGGGCCAAGGGCCAGGTGAGCGGAGGGCGTGGCCACAGGGCGGGTGAGTCCCTGCCAGCCTCCCCAGGGCCCCGCGGGCTCCGTGGGCAGACGGCGCATCCTCTCGCTGCGGGCCTCCAGGGCCAACGGAAGCTCAGGGCGGTGGTTCCAAGGGGCAGGTGAGGGGCTGGGCGGGTGAGGGGCTGCCCCGCCGCATGGGGGCCCTCCTGAGGGGAAGTCCTGCCCAGGAGACCCCAACGGTGCCCAAGGAGGGAGGGGAGGCCACCGGGGAGGGGGGGTGGGGTGACTACACCGAGAGGGGGGCGTGGAGAGGGCCCCCAACCCCCCACCTCCAGGCCACACAGAACCCTACGGGCTGTTGGGACTCACTGCGGGGTGGGGGCGGATCGTCAGATCTGGGTCCATTTTGGGGTCTGGAAAATGTCCCCGTGGTTTTGGGGCCAGAGAAGGGCCGAGGAGGCTTGTCAGCAGGAAGGATCCTCTGACCAAACCGGGGTCAGTTTGCTGCCCAAGTTGCCCCGAATCACTGGTGGGAAAGGGAATGAGGCTCCCTGCGGCCCTGACAGGTACCCCCACCATTCCAACCCAGATGTACTTTCTGTCGCCCACCTCTTTCAACCCCCAGTACAGTTCCCTGCTGACCCCGGGGCTGCGCGGGGCCTTGGGAGGGGACAGGGCTGCATCCAGGCTGCTGCAGGGTGGCTCAGGGACTCTCCCAGGGGAACCCAGACTGAGGAAGCTCCCCCAGGCCTGTGGTGGCTCCCGGCGGTCCAGGCTCCACGAGCGAGCGAACAACTCTTTTACTTTCCTGGGTCTTTTTAAATAATAATTAAGACAGTGTGATAGTTGCTGACAGTTGTTTTTGTTTTGTTTTGAATGCTTTTTTTTTTAAATATTTTATTTATTTGTCAGAGAGAGAACGAGCGAGCACAAGCAGGGGGGGAGAGGCAGGCTGAGGGAGAAGCAGACTCCCTGCTAAGCAGGGAGCCCCATGCACGACTCTATCCCAGGACCCCGGGATCAGAGGATTAACTGACTGAGCACCCAGGCGTCCCTGTTTTGAATGCTTTTGGCAAAATAAAGTTTTGTCAATTCTACCCCTCCCCCCCATTCACTCTCCCTTTCTCACACATGCAAATGAGCATACCTAGTAGGAAGAATTCACAGGTTCCACTAAATTCCTGACTTGAGAGTCACCAAACTGAACTCCTGGCCTGAGGCCTGAAGTGAGAGGGAGGGTAACCATGTGGGATTCGGGTCCTTGCCGCAGTGCTGACCGACTGTGGGATCCTGGACCAGTGGTGGGTCTTTTGTCTCCTGTTCTCCATTTCAACAGTACAAAGGGATCTGCAGATTCCCTATTGTATTAACATGGCTAGGGTCCTTTGAGTCTGGCCTAGATCAGTGCATCCCCCAAGTTGTATATCCATGGGGCACAGTCATCCAATCCCCGTGCTAAGGGCTGTTCCAAAAGGCTGGTGAGGTCCTCCTCGCTGGAGAGCCGCGGGGTGGGGAGGGGCGGAGGAGGGGGATAACGACAGACAGGAGGTGGTGCGCTGGGGTGCACCTGGCCCTGAAGTCACCCAGGCAGGGGGGAGGAAAGCATTGTACCCAGTGACCTGTTTATATGTCTTTCTCCCCCATAGTTACCAAGAATTCCTGTCTTTTTTTATCCCTGAATCGCTGCTGCTGGCCTGAGCTGGGCATGGGGCGTCCAGTAAGTGTGGAGGGAATGACGGACAGTGGCTGGTGGCTGGGAGGGCTGTATGTGGTTTACAGGGCCAAGCTGAGCTTTACAGGGAAGGCAGAGAGGGCACCCCCAGGGAAGGAAGGCCCGCGTGGAGGCCGGACGTGCTTGGAAGGGAGACCTGTGGGCATCAGGCAGGAAGGGTGGGGGCTTGGGGACTTCCCGGGAGGAAGGCCGATGAGATGGAGGTGTGGTGAGAGAGAGAGAGAGGCCAGCGCGAGCTCCAGGCCAGTATATGGTGACGGATCATGGCCAAAATGGGGGAAAACACGAAAGCCAGTTTTAGACAAGTTGAGGTTGTGGGAGGACAAACAGGGGCGCAGACCATCCGCTGACAGTGTCTAGCGAACTCCGTCCCATCCAGAGCATGGGGGTCAGGATGGAGCCATGACTCCTACCAGAGAATTTTAGAGCTAGGACTGCTCTTGGGGCCGACTGACTCCATCATTTTAGAGCAAAGGAAACTGAGGCCTGGCAGTTGAGGTGACTCATCAGTGTGGCCTGGAGGGTGGAGGGAAGATCTAAGGGGAGCCTTAGACAGAGGGAAGGATTATTCAGGTGGGAAGAAGGGAAGCTAGTGACAGGAAGGAGGTGAAAGCCCCTGAGGATGTTTGCAAACCAGTCTGACAGCACTCAGAGAGGAATAGCTGTTAACGTGTTTATAAACAGTGGATCTGGGAGGGGGGTTGCAAGAGTGCACCCACACTCTGCCCTCTGCGGGTCCCACAACCTCAGAGGCACTCCCTGCCCCGGCTGCAGTGAGGGGGTCTGCCTCGGGACCGAGAGAGGCCACAATGCCTAGGCATGAGCACAGATGTTTGCACAGGGTGTGGACCAGAGAGAGCAGCCCACTCCCTCTGAGGGCCTTGTCTTCTACACTTCAGACTCTGGCCTAATTACCACCCCCGGGGTCATCCTGAAATCCCCAGGGCTATTGGCTGTTAGCTGCCTGTGGAGCACAGTGCCGAGGGTCTTTGTAGGTGGGGTGATTGTTAACAGAATCCAGTGGTGAGAACTTTAGGGTTGGCGGAGGTTTGGGGATGGATGGCCTAGTCCAACCTAAACCTCATTTTATTGAGGCTGAAATTGGGGCTCAGAGAAGGGACCCTACTTTGCCCAAGATCCCCCGGTGACTTAGCAGCAGAAAATGTCATGCATTTTTTAGGTCTGCTGAAGAGGTCTGTAAGGTTGTAAAGTTTATCCACGCAGAGAAATCAACATTTCCTGAGGCTCACGTATGTGCTAATATTTCTGCAGGCGTCATCTCCTTGCCCCTCCCTTTTCCCTTGAACAGGTGATGCTGACTTTAGAGGACAAGGACGTGAAGGGATTCACGTGGGCCATAGCCCCCGCCTTGACCTCCTTGGGCTACCTGCTCATACTGCTGGTCTCCATCTTTCCCTTCTGGGTACGGCTTGTAAACGAGGAGTCCCACGAGGTGTTTTTCAGTGGCCTGTTTGAGAACTGCTTCCATATCAAATGCTGGAAACCTCGACCCTTATCAGGTAAGAAGGGATGGAGGCAGGGACAGGACAGGGGTAGATGGGGCCTGCGTAGGGACTTGGGTGACAGAGGACTGGATGGAGTCAGAGAGGACAGAATTTAATAAGCCCATAAGGGCATTTTCTGAGTCTCTGCTCTGAGGTTAGCGGAATGTATGTGGCTAGCAAAAGGTTAATAGTATCAAGTTGACCACCAGGGTCAGCAGCAAATGTGTCAGCAACAAAGTTTCTTTCTGGGGTAGGAGTGGCTCCACCTAGGATGGAGGGGTGGGGGTCCTGCCCTACTGTGTGAGGCTCTGCCACCTCTCAAGGGCTGCTGTTAGCTCCCCAACATGGGACCTTTTTGTGTGGGCACAGCTCCCAGCTGGGGAACAGCCTTGTTAGTAGAGTGCAGGCTGGATTTCAGCCCCCACTTGTCCCCTCTGCCAAACACCTGTCCAACTCTGGGTGGCAGCTCTGCAGATAAGGTACTTAGGCCCGAGTACCGCGTTTTCAAGGGAATGCACACGAATATGAGCTCAATGGACTGTGGACGCACCTGAGGCCGTGTTTTACAAGGGACTTGGGAAGGTCAGGAGGATGTCTGTCTTGGAAAAGAGGTGAGCCTCTTTGGGGAAGAGTCCTTAGGGGCTCTCTCCTGGTAATAGAAGAGGAGAAACCTCTTTGGGGAAGATGGGCCACACTGTGTACGCTCTTTGATCTGGAGTTCCTCAGCCTTGGCACTACTGACACTTTGGCTGGATAATCTTTGTTGTGGGCGTTTTCCTGTTTCTTGCAGGACAGTTAACAGCACCCTTACCCTCTATTACCCGATTGATGCCCTCAGTTTCGACAACCAAAATTACCTCTTAGCACTGCCAAATATCCCTGGTGGGGGTGTAAAACTGCCCCCAATTGAGAACCATTGGTTTAACCCAAGAGTAGAATCTAGAACATTTGGGTCTTTAGCAACACCTTTGTCTTTTTGTCCCACCACCAGCTGTCCATCTCTGCATGCTTAGGAGGGTATACAAACTTGTTTTAACATGGGTCTGAGTCACGCCAGTAGGGGATCATCAAGACCCTGGCTCTGCTATTTTGGGTCTGTTTCATTACTTCTGTTAACCAGGATAATTAAATAAGCATTTCTCCCAGAGTTCCGAACATCTTAACCTCACAAGTTCTGATTTTCCACCGGTGGCTTATTTCAGTGTGAAGCAGTACTGATGCAATTCTTCACGTTTTCACATGCAAATTTTATAATTTTTATTGTTTATTAAAATGACCGTTTGCCCATCTAATTTTTTTTCCCCATACACTTCCATGTCACAGGGAACAAAATGTTGGGACCAGAGCACTCTTGGAGACAAAGTGGTGGGGTTGGAGCCGTGGTCCCTGGCCGCACTGTGGGACTGAGGGTGGTGAGCTCCGGGGGCCTTCTCTGCGCAGGCTCTGCAGGGCTCTGTCCCCTGTCACGGGTCAGGGTGCCCAGCTGCAGCCCAGCCTCCCTCCCCCGCAGTGCACATCATTCTCGGCCGCGTTTTCCTGCTGTCTGCAGTCATCCTGTCTTTCCTCACCACCTTCATCCTGGTGTCCTTTGCATCTCAGCTGTTTCCGAGGACCCGGAAGCACAATTTGGTGTCAGCCTTCATCAGCTTCCTCACAGGTGTGGAACAGGCAGGCAAGCCTTGTCCTCAGGCAAGCCTCAGCTTTGGGGAGGGTTTGAGGGGGGCACCCAAAGGCAGGGAGATGGTTGGTTTCTGATGTCAGGAGAGAGGGAATTTTTAGGGCCCCTCTCTCCTGCTGCCTTCTCTGAGGCAGCCTGCCCCCCAGGATGACAGTCGCTCTTCCCGTGGGTCGCTGGGCACCCTGCACTTCCAAGTAGCACAGCACTCACATGTTGGCTTGGGGCCATTTGTCTGGGGGTCTTTTTACCATAATCTCTATCCCAGCAACTGTCATAGAATCTGGCACAGAATGATAATATGGAAGTGAAATATATAATATAAGTGAAATATAAGTGTTTCTTGGACGAATGGATGGAAGACACCATCTCTGCCCTTTGGAACCTTTTGACTTTAAAAGGCTGGCCATGGCCCTACCCTGGGAGGCTCCCATCACATGAAGGAGGTGGAACGCTCACAGTGGGAAGATCAGGTTGAGTTGTACCCAAAGCATCACACCCAGGGGGCCCCATCTGGAGTCAGCCAATGGCACGGCCACAGAGGGGACCCGGGAAAGGGCTTTCTGGTTATGGGGCCCTGGGAGGTGAGGCACATGGGCTTTGAAATGAGCTGGGATGGAGGGAAAGACAGGCATGTGGGGTAGAGGTTGCGGGCTCTGAGAGGGCCCAGGTGTGGGCTGGGGAAAAGGGCCTCCACACAGGAGCTGCACCGGTTGTGGGCCATGAGACTCTGTCTGATTAAGAGCAAAGGTGGGAGCCATGGGAGGAGAGCAAGAGGGCCTCCCTGTGACCCTGCAGGGGTCTGTGCCTTCCTGGCCCTGTTGCTGCATGCCCTGGAGATCCAGAATCTGAGGATGAAGCCCATCCCCCCCCAGATCTCCGTGCAGTGGCCTTACTACGTCCTTGGCTTTGCCATCGTTCTGTTCGTAGTAGCTGGTGAGTGTCCTGGGGCTGGTGCCCTTCTCCCTGTCCTCTGTCTGGATTCAAGAGCCGTGGACGCTCTAGAGTGGTGCTGTCCAAAACTGCAGTCACTAGCTACTTGTGGCTATTTAATTAATTAAAGTGAAGTAAATAGAAATTCAGTTCTTCAGTCATTGCTAGCCACATTTCAGGTGTTTGGTAACATTATGATGTATCTAGTAGCTGCCATATTTAGTGGTGCAGATGTAGAAATTTCCATCATTGCAGAAAGCTCTACTGAACAGCACTGCTCTAGAGCTCAGCCCTGTCTCTCATCCTTGTCCTCCTTGACTTTAGAACCAACCTCCAGATTTCATATTCTATCTTACTCTGTCCTGACTCCTACAGGTTTCTATGCCTATCTCTATCTATTCACCTCACCTTCACCTTACTGTCTTATCTTTATATACAATCACCATCTAAGCCCTCAATACTCTCTAATTTTGTCCTTTTTCCTAATTTCCTGCTCTATTAACCTGACCCATAATATAATCTATTTTAACTTGATTTTATTATACATTGAATATATAAAAATATTTATAATATATGAGCTAGGTAATTAAAAATAAACTGTGTGCCCATTTCCACCATTTAGTTTAAGAACTAGCCATATTTTCATGGAATCCACTGTTTGTAAGTTACATTCTTGTTTATGTATCACCGAGAAAGAAAAAAGGATGCCAAGAATAATTAATTATAAGGTGTTGTAGCTTGTAAGGCACATCCTCATTTCAGAAATGTGAAAAAAATGGGCTTGTCAACATTGATGAAATATGGTAGAATATTAAGTATCTTTGAAGTCTTCCCCCGCTCAACCATGTGGCTCTTCCTGATCTCATCCTCTTGTCTCCCCTCAGGAACCGATTATTCTGAAGTTTGTGATCATCATATTTACTACATGTGTATTTATCCTCAAACACTTTATTACTTTGTTTTACTTGTTTTAAAACTTTGTATAATCATACTGTGTTTATACAACAGTATAACCTCCATGTTAATACAAGGAACTCTAAGGTTCATTCATTTTTACCATCTTAAGTGTTTAATTGTACAACTAAGCTTGTTTGTAGGAGCATGGTATTTCTCTGTGGGAGAATTTTAAGCTCATGATTCAGTTTCTTTTAATGACTATAGGACTATTGAGGTATTTGCTTTCTCCTTGAGTTAGTTTTGGTAATTTATATATATTTCTGAAGTTTATATATTTTGTCTAAATTTTGAAATTTACTGACATAAAGTTACTCGAAATGTTTTCTTTTTTAACTTTATTTTGTGATGCATCTGTAGTTACGTGCTTCATTTTTCATACTGAATTTTCTCTTTTTTCATTGCCAGGTTTGTCAGAGGTTTACCACATTTTTAGTCTTTCCAAAGAACCAGCGTTTAGCTTTCTTTTTTTTTTTTTTTAAAAGATTTTATTTATTTATTTGACAGAGAGAGACAGCAAGAGAGGGAACATAAGCAGGGGGAGTGGGAGAGGGAGAAGCAGGCTTCCCACGGAGCAGGGAGCACGATGCGGGGCTCAATCCCAGGACCCTGGGACCATGACCTGAGCCGAAGGCAGACGCTTAACGACTGAGACACCCAGGCGCCCCCAGCGTTTAGCTTTCTTGAACCTTCATATTTTATGTTTGTTTTCTATTTAATTAATTTTTGCTTCTTATTTTGAACCTCCGTCACTGCTACTTTTTTGCATTTATTCTGCTATTGCTTTTCCAGCTTCTTAAGTCAGGATCTAAACTCATTGCTTACTTCTTTTCTTTTCCTTTTTTTTTTTAAAGATTTTATTTATTTATTTGAGGGAGAGAGAGAATGAGAGAGAGAGCATGAGAAGGGTGAGGGGCAGAGGGAGAAGCAGACTCCCCGCTGAGCAGGGAGCCCGATGCGGGACTCAATCCAGGGACTCCAGGATCAGGACCTGAGCTGAAGGCAGACGCTTAACCGACTGAGCCACCCAGGCACCCCTACTTCTTCTTTTCTAAGTAGGCAATTAAAGCTTCAATTTCCCTGTAGGAATTGCTTCATTTGCAGCTCCCATTTTCATATGCAGGATTTTATGTTACTGTTCTATTTCAAATATTTTCTAGTTCCCCTTATGATTTTTTTGATCCATGAATTATTTTAAACTATACTTTTACATTTCCAAGCATATAATTTTTTATTGTATCTTTGTGTTAAATGATTTTGACTTAATTTCAATGTGATGAGAGATCATGGTCTATATAATCCTAATGTGTTCCGATTTATTGAGACTTGTTTTATAGCCTAGTTTGAGGTTCATTTTCATGTTTTATGTTGAGTGCAACTTTTATAAACATTAGATCAAGCTTATTTATTATATTGTTCTAATCTTGATTTAGAATTGTCCTATTTTAAGCTAGTCACAGAAGGACAAATACCGCATGATTGCACAATATGAGGTGACCAAAATAGTCAAAGTTGTAGAAGCAGAGTAGAATGGTAGTTGCCAGGGCCAAGGAGGGTGAAATGAAATGTTGTTTGATGGATATAATGTCTTAGTTATTCAAGATAAGTAAGTTCTAAAGATGTGCTATACAACGTAATGCCTATAGTTAACAATACTGTACTGTACACTTACAAATTTGTTACGTAGGTAGATCTCATGTTAAGTATTCTTACCACAGTAAAAAAATTGAAACAATATCTGAAAATAATGAATTTGTTTTTCAAAAATATGCTTTTCTCTTGATTTTTGCCTGCAAAACTCCTCTAAACTGTCCTCATAAGCAGCTTAATGACAGCCTAACAATTGACCTTGCTGTACCACAGAATGCACAGATGTGGTTGGCATCACTCAGGCCAAGAAACAGAGTTGAAGCAACGTGGAACGATCCACAAAATCACAGTCTCCTATAAAAGCATACCTGTACAGAAATTCAGTTATTAACAAAGTTAACTCACGTTTTAATTGCATCATACTTGCTTCAAGGATAAAGCAAGAAAACACATGTGTTCAACTTTACCAGTAAGAGACAAATATATGTATAATGAAATTGTATTCACAATTTTTTATAAGCCGACTCGTGCTCACAGCGAAGTAGAAAACCGCATCAAAGGAGTGGCAGCCACAGAGAAATTCACAGGTTGACAGATTTCAGTTCAACTATAGAACAAGCCTCTCAAAACCCAACGAAATGGAAATACTAGCACAAGTATGGGAAAATATAAGAATGTTCTCAGCAGCATTATCTAAGGAAGGGAAATATATAAAATTATGTTACATTCATGTAATGAAGTACTATGTAGCTGTTAAAAAGTATAATAAGTCTTTATGTATTGATGTGGAGAGCCATTCATGCTCTATTAACTTGGGGGGGGGGACAAGTTGGGAAAATTGTGTATAAAATGATTTTAAAGGCAAAAAAAAAAAGAATTGTTCTGTTTTACTGGTGAATTGAACTTTTAATCATTATGAATGCTGTGATCCTTTTTATTTCTAGTAGTCCCTTTTGCTAAAGTCTGTTTTATCTGATATTACTCTAGCTACTTCTACATTCTTTAGGTTAGTATTTGCCTGTTATATATCTTTCTAATCTTTTACTTATATGTAATCATATAGCTGATGATTGTATTTTTTTCATCTAGTTTTATAATCATTGTCTTTTAACTGGAGCATTTATTATTGATTTACATTTATTGTGACTACTGATATGTTTCTATTTTTTCCTACCACCTTACTTTTTGTTTTCAGTTTTTTCTGCTCCCCACCCCCCAACCTCTCTTGCCTTGCTTTGAATTGATTAACTTTTATCGATACAGTTCTCATTATATTTTCCCCCTCTTTAGTTTGGAAGTTATGTAGTCTATTTGTATTCTTGTAGTAGCCACTCTTGACATTTTAACATGCTTATTAAACAAAGGTGAAAGTTCATCAACATATTTATTTTCTTTATAAATAATACAAGGTAATGCCTTCCCAATTTATATGCTATTTTGCACGTTTTAGTTTCTTCTGTTTTCTTTTTAATTCTATATATTTGATTGTACTGTTATTTTATGCATTCGATATTTGTTGGTTTAAATTTACCCACATATTTACCAATTTAGTTGCTTATCAAACCTTCTCAGACCTTCTGTCCTTCTGCCTGAAATACATCCTTTATAATGGGTTTTATTAGGGTCAGTTAGAGATACACTCTCTCATATTTTGTTTGTATGAAATTATCTTCCTTTCATTTTTGTTCATGAAAATTAGTTTTGCTGAACTTACATTTTTAAGTTGACAGTATCCCCAAGCATTCAAGATAATATTCTATTATTATTATTATTTTACCACTTCCATTGTTGTTGACTCTAAAAATATCATTCTTTTTGAAGCAATCTTTGTTTTTTCTCAGACTTTCTTTGGTACTTTACAGGGTGTGGATATTTGTATCATGACTTGTGGTATGAACTGTCTGAGGAATGATGTCTTTCAAAATTTCTCTATCATTTTAATCTCTTTTTTATCTCTATGTTCTTTCCTTCTCTTTTCTTTTCTTTGTGGAACTCCAGGAAGACATCTGTTAGACTTTGTCACTCTATCGTATGTCTCTCTCTCTCTTTTCATGCTTTCCATCTCTTTGTCTTTCTGGGCTGCATTCTGAATGACTCATATAGATGTATCTTCAGTTTCATCCATTCACTTCTCAGCTGTGTCTGGTTGGCTGCTTCACCTACTAAATTTTTATTTCAGTCAATTTGTTTTTATAACTGGAAATTATATTTTCCCTTAATTCGTGTTATTTTTATACTCTTTTTCCTCACATATATAGTTTTTAAAGATTTTATTCATTTATTTGACAGAGAGGGACACAGCGAGAGAGGGAACACAAGCAAGGGGAGTGAGAGAGGGAGAAGCAGACTCCCCTGCTGAACAAGGAGCCCGATGCGGGGCCCAATCCCAGGACCCTGGAATCATGACCTGAGCCGAGGGCAGACGCTTAACGACTGAGCCACCCAGGCGCCCCCTCACTTACATTTTTAATCTGTTCTCTAAACATATTTTTATTATACATGTTAAGCATACTTTGCATTCTGTGTCCTATAAGTTTAACAACTGAATGATATGATATGCTGGTCTGAGTCCATTGGCTGCTGTTTTTGCAGGCTCTTGCTTATGGTGTCTTGTTTCTTGGTATGTTTGTGAATTCATTTTCCTTGGAAATTTTTTTTTTTTTCGGGTAGAAATTCTTTGAGGCCTGTATTTAAAGCGTTTTTTCAGAAAGGGATTTGCATTTGCTTCTGCTTGATGCTTGGGTGCACAGCTAGCCAAGGATCACAACAGGTATTGTGAATTTTAGTTGCAGACCCACAGAACAGCTAGCCTCTGTTTATGAATTCTCAGTCAATACAGTTCTAGCTTCATATGGCAGACCCTTCTTAGATTGCTCATCTTGAGCAGGCCCTGAGCTTTTCCTCTCATTTTGTGTCCCAAATGGCCAACAGAACGAAAACTCAGGGTTACCTGGGTTGAGTGTATGTCTCCAACGTGAAGGCTAATTGTGTGCTTGCTCAAACTCTATAGGTTTCTGTTTTCACTAGGGTTTTGTTCCTAAGAATGCCTTACCCTGATGCCAGTTTGATGATATATTTACAAATAGGTGTTTGAAGAAATATCTTATATAGAATTTTTGTTGTTTTTATTGGGAGAGTATGTAGTCTCCTATCATGCTGAACATAGAAGTTGTTCTTTCTCTTAGCCTTAACCTTAATACAACATTTATTATTCACTCAAGATGTCTCCATTTGTTTTATGACAACAATTCTCTTTTTCCTTTCTTTTACTTTACTGGGGGTCTTGAGTTGGGCATTAAGAGGCCTGGGTTTTGTGTTTGACCTTCCTCTTAAACCTTGTTTTCTTACCTATTAATAGTTAGCCGGTTGCTAAGATGCCTTCCAGCACTGGCTATGGTTTTGTGAGTTTTATCCATCTTTTTGTATGCCTTGTCTTGTGATGCATTCTATTTTCTGTCTGTCTCTGTAATACTCTATATTGGAGGGGAGAACTAGGAAGGGTGGGTGCAGACCAGAGGGGGTCACATTCGAGGAGGGAGTTCCTGACCTAACTCTCCAGCCTGACCCAAACTTTCGCTGTTACCCAGGTGCCATCTGCCTCTTTCAAGAAACAACCTGCCTTAGCCGCCATCAGTTGCCCAACTCCCGGAGTATCGAGGAAACCCAAGGGGTCCCCCACCTGGAGAATCTGGAGAGTTTGGGAGGAGACCTGAGCTCAATACAAAAGGAGACACTGCTGAAGGAAGAAACGATTATCTAGTCCGGGAGAATGTCCTCCACCCGTCAGCTGCATGAGTGCCTGCGTGGGGGCCTAAGGGGCAGCCAGTCTCTGCAGCTTCTGATGAGCTTCCCGAGTCAGATCAGTGCTCCCCTTCCCCATACTCACAGTGATTCTGTCTTGCTTGTCTTTGCAATTTATTAAAAGTTTTTTGAATTATTCTGTTTCCTGAGTGGGGTGTGTGTGTGTGTGTGTGTGTGTGTGTGTTTTGTTTTGTTTTGCAGCTGTTTTCAATAAAATGACTACTGAACGTTAATCCAAACCTCAAGAAAACCAGCCTGGAGGACAGGAGGGGAGGAAGGAATATGACAAAATGATCAAGTAAAGTGAGCTTTTGTAAAACAAAAACCGAACAGAATATAACCACAACAGAGGGTGTTTGAGTTAGTGACATTAAAAAGAAAAAGTGATGGGGGTGCCTGCGTGGCTCAGTTGGTTGAGCGTCTGCCTTCAGCTTAGGTCGTGGTCCCAGGGTCCTGGGATTGAGCCCTGCATCGGGCTCCCTGCTCCGTGGGAAGCCTGCTTCTCCCTCTCCCACTCCCCTTGCTTGTGTTCCCCCTCTCACTGTGTCTCTCTCTCTCTCTCTCAAATAAATAAGATCTTAAAAAAAAAAAGAAAAAGTGATGTCCCCAGACAAAGGTGTGACTCAGTACAGTAAACTTAAGTATGTGTTGGAGGGAAGGGTTGGGAGTGGTTAAAGGTCAATGCTTCTCAGGATTAAGCCCCCAGGTCTGGAAGTCTGAGCCTAATGGGTCTGTAACCCCCCGGGGGCAAGCAGAGGCAAGTTAGCCAACTAACATATGAGTGTACATCCTCTCACTAAAGCCAGGGGCATCTCTAATGTGTCCTGACGGTGCTTACGGACTGGGGAGCTCTCAGTCCCCCAGCTAGGATGGGTATGGCTGGGAAGTAGGAATGCTTGGGGGGCTGGCTAGAACAGTGATCCAAGCCCTCTGCAGACTTCATATCCACCCTTCATCTGAACAATACCCACCAACAATGCTTCCCCACTTTGCTCTGCAAGGAACACATGGGGGAGGGGGGAAGCTCTTATAACTTAAGCAGTGCAACTTCAGAAACAGGTATGGGGAGCCCGATCTCAGGTCCTGAGCTGAAATCAAGAGTCAGTCGCTCAACTGACTGAGCGACTAGGTGCCCCCTATAACCTTCATTTCTACGGTTAATGCTAAAGCAACTCTTACATCTGCCATTTTACTTTGTCCTGCTAAAGATAGGCCAGGTATAATTCTACCCATTTTTCTTTAAAGAACCAGAGAGGTGATGTCTTCTATCAGATAATTTTCTTCCTCTTTCCATCTGCCCCTTTGTCTCTTTCCCTCTTTCCCTCCTCCCTTTTCCCCTTCTTTTCTCTCAGGACCTCACAATGCTCTCGACTCATTCAGTACCATGTTCCTTGCTAGGAAAAAGTGCCTTCATTTGCTCAGCATCCCTGAAAATCTGTCTTCTTTTTGACATTGCCATTTCCCTAGCAATCCTTTGGTTATATTCTGATCTCTCAGGGCCAGGAGCATGAGGTTGGAATTTGTCTGGTTTCCTTTGCAGTTTTTAGACTACTGTTGTTAATTTTTCTTCAAAAATCTTCTCTTTATATCATGGGAAAGAAGGGCCAGTGATGTAGAAAAGCTCTTCCAAATATAAAAGATAAGTATAAAACTGCGGTTATTAAACAATTTGGCAGGTCCTGACATAGGATCCAGGTAGATTACAGAATAGGAATCCAAATACAAAGGCAACTTTATACAAGGAAAAATAGAGCCTTCAACAAATGGTATTGAGGAAAACTTGTTAGCCATTGGGAATATGGAAGGCAGAGATATTTTTTTTTATAAAGATTTTATTTGAGAGAGAGAGAGCATGAGCAGGGGGAGGAGCAGAGGGAGAGGGAGAAACAGGTTCCCCACTGAGCAGGGAGCCTGATGCGGGGCTCGATCCCAGGACCCTGAGATCATAACCTGAACCGAAGGCAGACTCTTAATGGACTGAGCCACTCAGGAGCCCCTGGAAGGCACAGAGATTTTAAAAAAAGAATGAATGAAGGGTGCCTGGGTGGCTCAGTTGCTTAAGCATCTGCCTTCCGCTCAGGTCATGATCTCAGGGTCCTGGGATTGAGCCCCGCATTGAGGTCCCTGCTCAGCGGGGAGTCTGCTTCTCCCTCTCCCTCTGCCCTTCCTCCCCAACCCCCCTGCTCTGGGCTTGTGTGTGTGTGTGTGTGCGCACGCTCTCTCTCTCAAATAAATAAATAAAATCTTAAAAAAAAAATAAAAAAGGATGACTGAATTTGAATACATAAAACATACAATCTTTTGCCGTGCATGAAGTTCCTTAAGAAAGACAAATAGGGGGGCGCCTGGGTGGCACAGTTGGTTAAGCGTCTGGCTCTTGGTTTCAGCTCAGGTCATGATCTCAGGGTCCTGGGATTGAGTCTCGAGTTGGGTTCTGTGTTCAGTGGGAGTCTCTCCCACTCCCCCTGCTTGTGTTCCCTCTCTCGCTCTGTCAAATAAATAAATAAAATCTTTAAAAAAAAAAGTAAAAAATTTTATTTATTTGAGAGAGAGGGAGAGAGAGAGCACGAGTGTGTGTGGGGGGAAGGCAGAGGGAGAGGGACAAGCAGGCTCCCCACTGAGCAGGGAACGCAACTTGGGGCTTGATCCCAGGACCCTGAGATCATGACCTGAGTGGAAGGCAGATGCTTAACCGACTGAGCCACCCAGGCGCCCATATAATTTTTTCTTACATCATTCCTCACAATAGATATTTCAGTTTTTACTCCATTATTTAAGCCTATCACTGTCCCATGCATTCTCAGCAGGTAATATCACTGGGGCAGGAGGCCAAGAAAGAAAGAAAGAACTCCTCAAACGCCTCCATAGTATGATTTTAAAACCATCTACTTCAGAGGTCAGCCAACTACAGCCCTTGTGTCAAATCTAGTGCTGGCTGTGAGCTAAACATGGCTTTGACATTTTTACAGGATCGCAAAAATGAGTATGTGAAAATGTGTCCAGCAAAACCTAGGATAGTTACTTTCTGACCTTTCATAGAAAAAGTTTGCTGAGCCCCAACCTAGACCATCATTCATCTTTGAATCTTTTCTTCCCAATTCAGAGGAGTCCCCTTTCCTCTCCAAAGCTGCCCTGGAAACCTGTGATCTGATCCAATCTCCTCCTGCCTTTGCCAGAATGCTCTCTTCCCTGTGTCTTCTCCATGATAAGCTGAAGGAAGGTTTTTGATATCACTAGGAATAGTTCAGTTTTCCCAGACAAATTGAGCCAATTGGGCTGTTTCATTTGGCCCCGGATGACAAGGTTGTCTCATACCTCTCAGATGTGAGTGCACGTTAGTGGATGGAGGCTATCTGACACTATTCCCAAGGTGGATTGATCATGTAATTTGTAATATAAAAGAATCTGAGATCCCATGAGCCCAGCTGGACTTGGTCCTGGATGTGGTATAAGGTATGGACCCAACATTATCTCTTTCCAGATGACCAGCCAGTTGTCTGCTTTTTAAATGTTCATTCTTATTGATAAATGTGGCCTTGGTCATTTACTAAATTATTCCACCTTCTCTCTCATCCTCCAGACCCAATCAATCCTCAAACCTTGGCAATTTTACTTCCTCAGTAAGTTTCCTATTGAATCACTCCTTGCAATCTCTGTTCTCACCGAATGCCCCAGGTCTGTCTCACCCTCTCTCTCCTGGACTGCCTTTTTAAGCCTCTTTTTATGCGACAGTCAGCCGTCTCATTTCTCCACCTCCCTCCCTTCTTGCTCAGTCTTTCTCGACGGGTTCTCAGCAACATCTTTCCAAAATGTGTCCCTTCCCGCCTTTAAACCTTTCCATGGCTTCCTATTGGCTTTAGCTTATCAACCGAAATTCTTAGTTTAACCGTCTGCTAGAGTGGCCTGCGTGGTGTGGGAATGAGGTCAATCCCTCCACACTCACTAGGGACACTCACCTCACTTTTTAAAAGGTCCACCCTTCAAATCTGAGCTGAGGTGCCGGCTCCTCCAGGAAGCCTTCCCTGACTCCCTCCTCCCAACTACTCGGGTGGAGGCCCCTCTTATGCGAACCTATAGCATTCGGTGCTTCCCTCTGTCACCCTCGGCCCCTGCGCCTTGCACAAAGTACAAGAAGCGCGGAATAAGCACGTGTTGACCGACTGGACTCTAAAGCCCATTGACACAGGCTTCGTGTCCAGGAGTATGTCTGGAGGGACCTTCTCACGGAGGGAAAGCAGATGCAAAAACACAGAGGCGCCAAAGGGCCTGACGATCGCGAGGACCGCGAGCCTCTAGGGGACGAGTTAGCCTGGGAAGAGGCGCCCGGTCTCCCGGAACAGGCCCAGGGGACCAGCGACCATAGAGACACACCGACCTCCGGGAGTCCTAGAGAGGAAGCGGAAGGGGCTCTTTCCTCACGCACCTGTCTGACAGCGTCCGCGGCCCACTTCCGGTCCGCTGAGGGCTCGGGCCAGGCCGGCGCTGTTGAGGGACTGCGGGTGAGAGGCGGGTTGGGGTGGCTGGGTCGAGGCGGAGGCGGCGGCGGGCCGGGCTTCGGGGCCGCTGCGGGCCGCTGCGGTGGCGGTGGTGGCGGTGGCGGCGGCGGGGCTGAGGTAGCGGGCGGCGCGTCTCCCCAGAGCTGCCTTCCGCGGCACGGAGGCCATGGCGGGGCGGGACGCGGGGGCTCAGGTGGGAGCGGGGTTGGGCCGGCCCGGCCAGGGTTGCCTCAGCCTCGGGGGCGTCCACGAACTCGAGACCTGGAAGAGCGCGGATCTCTCACAAAATTGAAAGTAGCCATTTTAGAGCAAGACGTGGGACACTCACGTAAAGAATGGCTTCTCTTTAAGCCTTCTCTTCGTCAAGTGCCAGGGATGAAAGATGAGTGAGGACCTTTCGCGCCTTCAGGGAATCTGGTGGTCGGAGACACATTGGTAAACATCTGCGCTGTAGCGCCCTCAGTGCAACAGGGGAGTGAATAAATGCTGCAGCTGGGAAGTCGTGGAAGAGAAATCTCAGTTGGTGCAGCGGAGAAAATGAATCGACTGAAAATGTAAAATAGGTTTAAGAAGGGTATATAAGTACACGAACACCCAATAGAATA